AGCTAACTACCATCCATAACTCCAGCTCCAGGGGATCCGAAGCTCTCTTCTGGTCTCTTCAGGCTTTGTACCTACATACAGTCAGGCAAAACACTCATACACATAAAATAAAGATAAATAAAGCAGTTTCTGCTTTTAGCCTCGAAGTTCGCTTTGTCGGACATTAGTTTTGCTGTTCCCTCTCTGCGTGCATCTGCTTGGTGGTTTTTGCCCGTTGCTTTATTTTCAGGTCTTTTTTGTCACCTTGTTTTGGGAGTATTTCTTGTAAACAGCATTTGGTTGTATTTTTTTAAACTTACTCAGACAATCTGTTTTGCAATAGGGAGATTCACTCTCTTCACATTCTGCATAGCACACTGATACTCAGAGCTCAATCGCCACCGGGGCAGCGGGCCAGGGCAGTTGGCCTGCTCTCTGTTATTCTGGTTCATTCTTGCTCACAGGTCATTTCCCATCATTCCTGTCATGAACAAAAGCAGATTTGAACATAAAGACTATGTGAATGCCAAGTACTAGATCTTACACATTTACAATAATTTACTCCAAATTGTGTTACTCTAATTCTCTTTTCTAGTTTCATGCTCTCCAAAATGTTGCAAGATCTCCTAGGAATGCTTCCATGTACATCTCGAGACCCCTCTGGACACCAGTAGATGTTACGTGTTGCATTCTAGAGAATCATTTTTTAACAATCCGAGGGGTGAGACGGGGGCGGGGGCGATAATGGGCTGGGAGAATGTACACCTCCCCACAGTTAGAGTAGCTGTCTCATTCTCTGCCAGCGCTACCATATTGCTGACCCCTAATTGTTCCTTTCCATCTTGGCCCAGCAAGGTGACACCTTAGCTTCTAGGGAGCAGCTGTTTCTGTAGAGACTCTCAAAGCAACACTGTGGGGCTTCTAGTGACCTCCTTTTCACCACTGTCCCCTTCTCAGTGTGCTGGCCTTGAATGGGTGAGGCCCAGCTTGGCAGCATCCCTGAAATCATTGGTCCCACCATATTCCAGGCCTTGCAGCCCAGTCTAGTCATTTGTTTTTTTCTCGGTTTGCCACCTGCATGTCACAGGAAACTCAGCCCTTATGGCAGTCTGCTGATATCTCAGTCTCAGCTAGGAACTGAATTTAGCATCTTTCACTGAGAGCTGGGGCCCCATACATATGAAAGATGGCCTGGGCACCTGTTGTAGTGTCAACATGTGGTATTCTGTGATGGCTAAATGTGTTCTCTTTTTCTCTCTTCTTTCTCCTCTCTTCTCCTTTCCTCTCTCCTCCTCCTCCTCCTCCTCCTCCTCCTCCTTCTCTTCTTCCCTCCCTCCCTCCCTCTGCTGGTCCCTTAAGGTTCACACAGCCTCTTGCCACAAGTTGGGATGGCTATGAAGGGTCAGGTACTCACATCTTGGCAGGCTTGAGTGTGAGCTCTAGCCAAGCAGAGCTCCCCAGGAGTAGGGCCATGCTAGCCCATATGGTACTTTCATGTAATTAGCAAAAGATGCCTTCTCTGGGTAGGCACAGCCTATACCAGACCACATGGCTTAGGGAGTGGAGAGAGGGCAGAGTTTCAGGTCCCGACTGCCCCTTAACCAGATGTCCCAGTACAAAGACCAACGAGCACCAGTTTTAGGCAGTGGCCCTGCCTGGCCACACAGAGAGCTAAACAGAGAGAGCCTGACTGTGTAAATATTGGGCCTGTAGAGGAAATATGTTGCTGGGCTCTGGTCCCAGGCCATCTCTTTGAAATCCTGGGAAAAACTTGGTGGTCTGCCTCTGAACCTCCATTCTGAAATATACAGCTCAGAAAAGCAGAATTGAGAGCTGAACCCTGACCCCAGGGCTGACCTTATCCTCTGTGTCTCCACAGAATCATGTGCATATCACTCAGCAACCCCAGCCTTCATGCACACAGCCACTGGGAGCCTTGCAGGACTGTGAGAAACAGGGAGGAGACTGCTATGGAGAGGGTTGTGTAAAAAGTGACTGGAACAGGAAGCTGCAGGTGTGCAGCACGCTGAAGGGGCTGAAGTACAGGTAGATGAACCTCCTAAGTATCAGCTGAACTGAAGCAAGGGACATGGTGGTGACCAGGTGTCCCCAGAACACAAGGAGCCTAAACCAATGGGCTTCTGAGTTTATTTTTTGGACTATGGGGAGCCAGCACAGATTGTTTGAGCATGGGCCTGGGGAGATAGCTCAGTGGGTGAAGTGCTTGCTTCACAAGCCTGAGAATCTGAGTTCCATGGCCAGAACACACATAAGAATTCAAGCCAGAGCTGGGGAGGTGGAGACAGAAGGATTCCTGAGGTTCACTGATGAGCCAGTTTAGCTTAATTGGTGAGCTCCGGGATAATGAGGGATCAAACGTCTGTCAAAGGAGTGAACAGTGTTTCTGAGGATGACATTTAAAATTGCCCTCTGGCCTACATACACACACACACACACACACACACACACACACACACACACACACATGAACTTACACACTTACAAACGTACAAGAACACATATGTATGTAAGAAAAGATTGTATTAAAAGTTTTCAATCACATTTATTTAGTGGCAGGGGGCACATGCCATGGTGCACCTATGGCCATGAGGACAACTTAGGGGAGCTCACTCTCTCCCCTCACCATGTGGGTCCCCAAGATGGAACTCCAGTCATCATGCAAGCACTTTTCCTCACTGAGCCATCTTGCCGCCCACCCCCTAAAAAGATTGTTTGAGGGCTGGAGAGATGGCTCAGCAGTTAAGAGCACAGGCTGCTCTTGCAGAGGACCCCAGTTCAATTCCCAGCACCCATATAAAGGCTAACAACCATCTGTAATTTCAGTTACAGGGAAATCTGATGCCCTCTTCTGACCTCTATGGGCATTGCACTACATGGGTGCACTTACATGCATGCGGGCAATACACTCATACATATAAAATAAAAATAAGAAATAAGAAATATTTTAAGAACGATTGTTTGAGCAGAAGAGGAGCAAGGTCAGATTGGTGCCCAGAAGATGATGATTCTGGCACCGATCAGGATGATGAGGAAGAAGACATAGTAAACCTGGCATGGCAGGGTTACACCCAGGGTCTCAGTATTAACCGGCAGCTAGGAGCAGCCAATTTGGAAGAACCCTGTAAAAAGCCTTCTTTCTTTACTAAATTGAATGTAATTCCAACAATCATTTCAGAAACTTTCCCAGATACTTTGAGACCATGTGCAGAGATGGAGGGCAGCAGGAGGATCAGCATGAGCTCCCCCTCTTCTCTCTACCCCTCCATCAGAATGTGTTTTGATAAGTGGGGGCTTCAGTACAGCATAAGGGTGACTAACCGAGCCCCCTCCCACACCAATTAAATTTTTTAAGCCTCCATGGAAGGAGTGAATATTAGTTTCCTGATTTATAAAGCCAAATGGATTAAGCTCATTCATTGCCGGAGGAAACAAAAAGGAAATCTTCAATACCTCTGTGCACATTGAGAACAGGAACAATACCAGTCTTTAGAAAGCAGAAACCTAATTTGGGGGAATCAATTACCCTCTGTGTCCCTGCCTCTGTGGGCTCTCTCCCTGGCTCCCTCAATAGAGATTTCCTCGAGGTAAAATGTGGAGAAGTTGGCCCACCATACAGCTCACCAGCCTGGAAACTGGAGGGGGACTAGGGTGAGGTGGGTGGGGAGTCGCCTGGGTGTGCCTGGGTGTCAAGCCTGTGTGCCAGTGGGGAGTTGGGGCTTCCGGATAAGAGTGGAGAGAGAGGCAGTATGGGGGGGCAATGAAGGGGCCACGGAGGGGGGTGAGAATTAGGGGGTGGTGTGGCAAAGCTCAGCTCCTGAAGGAGCAGGTGACTGGGCAGCGGGTGGATACTGGGGCCCAGCCTGGCTTCAGTCTTGCCCACCCCCTCCTCATCCCCCTCGCCCCGGGCTTTTGTGGTCTGTACTTACAGGCATGTTGCTGCAGCTACTGAGCAATAACATAAAAAAGGGATGGAGTGCCCGATGCAGAAGCCAGAAAGCCACACTCCCAAAGTCACACACAGAAGCACTCTGCATTCCTGGGCTGGGTCTCCAACCTTGGTCCACAGCCCCAGAACCATTGCTGGTGGAACTCGAACACTGCCTCACCCTCACACCCGAACAGATTGAAAACTGCACCTGCGGTCGCACTCTGGTCACCCTCTCCACTGACTGTAACCTCTCCGAGCGGCCCACCACCCCATACAGCCCTCACTCTAGCATGCAGTCACACAGGCACAGGCACAGGCACACACACACACACACACACACACACACACACACACGCACGCACGCACACACACACACACCACGCACGCACGCACCGAGTCCCTCACACACACACACACTCTGACTGTGCTTTTGTGTTTTGTCAGAATTAATGAGAAAAGTTCCCGTGCCCTGCGGGTAATTAGTGTCCTTGGAGTTAAATAAGCTAATGGCGGGCACCTCTGGCCCAAGCAATTATGTTTGTGTATTGAATAATTGATTCAAAGGGGGGGAAGGGCCGCTAATCAGATCTGAGCATAATGAATTGATTTAATTAACAGGGGAATCTGAGGGGCCCTGGGAAATGCAAGCTGCACTCTGCTGAAAGCGAGCGCGGCGGGCTGGGAGCGGGAACCCGCGCGGCTGCGGCGGCTACTCTGTCCCCGGCTCCGGCCCCAGCTCTGGTTCGGGTTCCCGCCCGGCTCCGGCTGGTCCCGGCTCTGGCTGGTCCGGGTTGCGGCTGATCGCTGGGCTCCGGCCCCGCCCGGCGCCC